AAAATGGCATAAATAACAGTTATTTTTGTATGTATTAGACGCATATAATGGCAGTTAATAAATTAATGGGTATATTAATGGTAACTTGTATATTAATGGGTTAATAAAAAATAATATTTAATAATATTTAAATTGATTTTTTAGAAAAAAATTATATATAATATGTACAAATTATATAATATCCTTTATGTAATAATATACGTTTATAATTTTATATATTATTGATAATTTTATGTATTGATTATTTTTATATACGTCGATTTTTATATAAATCGATCTCCTCGTTTACACATCACAACATTATTTTTCATTTTTTCGTAAAAAATAATGTCAAAATTATTCTAATTATTTATTATATTTGTTACTATTTTATCTATTTAATTATACGTATATTTTTATGCTGGGTAAAACGGGGTAATTAAATATATATAGGGTGTCCAAAAAGACCCCGGATTTAGGAGCTGAACATAAAGGTGATTATAACTATAATCGTAAAGGAATGTGAATTGTACTTGTACTGGCAGTGAATTTTAAGGTGCCTTCTCATGCCTCTCGACGCTCGATGCTCATTTTCGAAGTCAAAATAAGTCGTGTGATAGAAATTGACGAATAAAAGATTTGCAAAAGAATTTAAACAATTCAAAACGACCGCTTTCTACTCACAAGCTAATGGAGCTTTAGAACGGTCTCACTTAGTTTTGGTAGAATTTTTTAAGCAATTTGTAGACAGATTCACAGAATGGGATAAATTAGTACGATACGCCACCTTTTCATACAATACAAGCACACACGGGGCTACCGGATACACCCCATATGAGTTAGTATTTGTTAAATTAGCTAGGCTTCCGACCAACGAAATCGTTAATAATATAGAAGAATTAAAAACATCTGACGCTTACTTAACACAGCTCATGACGGATATACATATATTTATTTATTACAATCTATCTTGTGTACAAGATATTTAGCAATAGTTTTATCTGACGTACATGAACATGAGAAGGAGTACATCCAGTGATGTATCCTTATAAGTTACCTTATTAATACTATATTAAAATTAAAATACAAATTAAAATATAAATATTATAAGTTTTAGTGAGGCTGGGTATTTAGCTTAATATAGTTCTTATATATTTAACAGAAGTCCAGTGGTGATTTCTTCTTAAGATGTTGCAGAGTTCTTGGCTTGTCTGTCAAATTCACTGCATAAATGTTCGGATGACTTTTAAGTCTATCTTGATAGCTTTTTGACAACTTTGTAATTGCTTCCTTAACAGGACTTGAAGATCACTATGTATAGTGTCATTGGTTACAAATGGCGCATTTATTATCATTCTTAACATTTTAGATTGAAAGCGTTGTAATATCTCGATATTAGAGTTGGCTGCTGTTCCTCACAGTTGGATGCCGTATGTCCATATCGGCTTGAGAATAGCTTTGTAGAGCAGAAGTTTATTTTCGACTGACAGTTCTGATTCACGGCGAAATAGCCAGAACATTTTTCGTAACTTAAGTCCGAGCTGTTTCCTTTTGGTAAAGATGTGTTTTTTCCATGTTACGATCGAAATGTATGCCAAGGTATTTCGCGACTTCGGATTGAGGAATTGGTTGATCGTTAAGTGTCACTTGGGGACATGTTCTTCTTCGATTGGTGAAAGTGACATGGACTGACTTACTTTCATTGGCTTTAATGCGCCATTTAGCTAGCCAGTTTTGAATATTGTTAAGATTTGTTTGCAGTATATCTGAGGCCATTTCGTGGTTAACGTGTGAGGCTAGGGCTACCGTATCATCCACAAATGTAGCTGTCATAACGCCACTAGTTGTAGGCAGATCAACAGTATACAGGAGATAGAGTAGGGGTCCAAGGACACTACCTTGTGGTACTCCGGCATGTATTTGGTGCAGGTCCGTAGTTACTTCTTGATATTTTACGTAAAAAAATCTATTTTCAAGATACGACTTGAGTAAAATGTAATATTTCAAGGGCAAATTTCTTTTAATTTTGTACAGTAGTCCCATATGCCATACCTTATCGAACGCCTGTATTATGTCCAGAAAGACAGCCGAGCAATACTCTTTCTTCTCTAGGCTTTCGCGAATTTTGTTATATATTCGGTGAGCTTGTTCAGTGGTGGCGTGCTTCTTGCGGAATCCAAACTGATGATTTGGAATTAGGTGTTTTTCTTCTATAATTGCATGCAATCTCGAGAACAGTAGTTTTTCGAAAACTTTTGAGAGGACTGGTAATAGGCTGATTGGCCGATTTGGCGTCTTCCGGATTTTTTCCCGGTTTTAATATGAGAATGATTTGTGCCACTTTCCATTGGGCCGGAAATGTACCGGTACGTAGAATTGCATTGAATAGCTGAGTCAAAAATATCTACCTTTTCTTGGCAGATTTTGGAGGACCTGTCCGTTTATTAAGTCATATCCTGGGGCTTTTTTAGGATTTATTTGTTTACGAATTACATCGGTTACTTCGTTGACTTTAAATTTTTTAAAGGAAGTTCCATTTGGTAAGTTTTATTTAATGCCATACAGATTAGGTTCTTCTCCTGTTTGCTCAGCATCATATGGAGTGAATGTTTCCTTTAAGTGCTCGGCAAATGTATTAGCTTTTTCGGTTGCGCTTTTAGCCCACGTGCCATCGAGTCGACGCACTGATGATACACAGGGTACTGGTTGTTTTAATCGTTTAGTAGCTTTCCAGAGTGAGTAATCAGTTGCTTGAGTTGCTCCCAGATTTTGTAAATATTCTTGAGTTCTTTGATTTTTCTCATAATTTAACAGCTTTTGTAGGTGTTTTGTTGCCCTATTCAGCTTAGTCTTTATCTCGGGGGATCTTGTCATTTGCCATTGTTTTCTTAATCTTCGTTTTTCTGTTATTTTTTGTTTTGTCAAGTCGGACCATTCATTATCTTTCCCCTTTGTGTAACTAAATGATGTGGCATTCCACGCTGCTTGCTGTATGCTGAGGTTGAAGTGTTCTACTGACTCATTTATTTCGTTCTCTGTTTTTAGGGATATAGATGTATTTAGAGTTTTTTCTACCTGCTCTCGAAAGTACGTCCAGTCAGTTCTCCTGTTGCACAGTACACACGGCTTCTCTTTTTTAAACACTTTGCTACACACTGATAATAATACCGGTGAGTGGTCTGACGAAAGCTCCAAGCACGATTGTACCTTTAAATATCGTTTGTTTATATTTTTGATGACATAAAAATCTATTACATCAGGGATTTTTCTTCTATCTGTGGGCCAGTATGTTGGCTCCACCTTAGATGCTGATTCTAGGTTTAGGTTTTCCATTGCTTTACATAGTTCTCTTCCTTTAGGTGACATCAGTCGCGAGCCCCATAAGGGGTGTTTAGCATTGAAGTCTCCGCCAGAGATAAAACGATGGCCCAGTGTTTCAAAGTAGCTTTCAAAGTCTTCTTGTTTGGTTGCATGTTTTGGCGGGTAGTAAATAACTGAGATGGTAATCGGGCTAATCCAATCCTCGATTACTACGTTTGTCGCTTGCATTTTCTCTGTTTGGTAATTATTACTTAGATGATGCTTGATTGTGTTTTTGATGATAATAGCGGATCCACCATGCGCAGTGCCGGCTGGATGCAAAGTATGGTAAGTAGTATAATTAGCAAATTTAATGTAATTTTTCTTGGTAAAGTGTGTTTCAGATATTAACATTGTGTCTATGTTATTAGGTGTACAAATAAGTTTCCGCCGTTTGACAAAAGACGGCGCCATTAGTAAGCTATGGTTAAAATTGTCTGATGTAAAACATTATATCGTAAGGTTGGACATCTGTCAACAACATAACCTTGAAATACTAGCGATTTTGTATTAGCATCATATATTTTTTTTTGTACGAAAATACCGAGTTTTGAGCCGAATAAGCGTCATTTGCGGGAACTTTTGATTTACTTCTTTAATTTGAGAAAATCTGCAGCTGAGGCTCATCGATTGCTTGTAAAAGCATATGGTGAGGCTGCCTTAAGTGAGAGAAGTTGTCGTGAATGGTTTCAAAAATTTAAGAACGGTGAATTTGACGTCGAAGACAAAGAACGTAGCGGAAGGCCGAAAATGTATGAAGACGCGGAATTGGAAGCATTATTGAATGAAGATTCGTGCCAAACGCGTTCCATATGAACGAGAAACGTTGAACGCCGATGTTCCATATGTGAAATGCTGTTTGTCAGGCATAAACGAAAGGGTTTTTTACATCGTATAGTCACTGGTGATGAAAAATGGATCCACTACGATAACCCAAAGAAGAGGAAATCATGGGGATCACCTGGCCATGCTTCAACATCGACAGCCAAGCCGAATATTCATGGAAAAAAACTCATGTTGTGTATTTGGTGGGATCAGCTTGGTGTCGTGTATTATGAGTTGCTCAAACCGAACGAAACCGTTACTGGGGCTTTCTACCGAACACAATTGATGAGATTGAGCCGAGCACTCAAGGAAAAACGCGCCTACTACTACTCCAGGCATGACAAAATTATTCTCCTGCATGATAATGCTCGACCACATGTTGCGGCGCCAGTTAAAACCTACATGGAAATACTCAATTGGGAAGTTCTACCCACCCGCCGTATTCATCAGACATTGCCCCTTCCGATTACCATCTATTTCGATCGATGGCGCATGGCCTGTCTGAGCAGTACTTCACATCATATGAAGATATCAAAAATTGGATCGATAATTGGATAGCCTCAAAAGATGAAGCGTTCTTCCAACGCGGTATCCGTATGCTACCAGAAAGATGGGAAAAAGTAGTGGCTAGCGATGGACAATACTTTCAACAAAACATTATGTATCGTTCTTTCACAATAAATGCTTAATTTTTGATTAAAAACAGCGGAAACTTATTTGTACACCTAATATTATTATTGATAAAAGTTTCTAATTCTAGTTTATGTCGGAACAATCCATTGGCATTCCAGATTGCTAGTTGTAAGACCTTGGCCATTGTGACATGTTGGAGATCAGGGTAGTTAGTAAGTTTAGCATAGTGCTCATTTGTTCGGTGAGGGTTTTTATCATGATCTTTAGCTCTTGAAGATCATTGGTTTGATGATCTTGCTTAGCTGATTCGGAGTTATGTAGAGGGTTATGCTCTTGATTTTGTTTGCCGATTGTCGCCTGTGCGAACGAGATTCCAACTCGGGTGCGTTTACTTGGCTGCGGCTTGTCTCTTTTGTCGTTGTGAGTTGTATCCTGTTCCGGCACTTTTATTTGTTTATTCCTTAGGGTCGGAAATTTAATTTTTTGCAGTTCTTTATACACTGTACATCCCTTGTAGTTGGCCAGATGATTTCCCTCGCATAAGACGCATTTCACTTGATCAGACCTACCTGTTATTTTGCATTCTGACGTTCGGTGACTGCCTGTACATTTGACGCAACGTGGCAATCGCGAGCAAAAGTTTTTTGTGTGCCCATATCGTTGGCAATTTGTGCATTGCAGTATTTCCCTTTTCGGATTTAATGTTTCAAACTTAATTTTTGTACTAAGAAGGTATACAATTGAGTATATGCTTTTATTATTCTCATCTGCAGATCAACAGAAAACATAGACAACGGCTGTTTCGTTACTCTGTGTCGCATATTTATTTATATTTATCACTTTGTGTCCATGATCTTCAATTTCTGCTTTTATATCGTTTATTTCAGTTGAATAGTGCATATTACGCAGAACAACTCTGAAGGGCCTATCTTGTTTTTTTTGGTAAGTGTGATATTCTGTGTTTTTTTCTTTTAATGATTTGATTATTAAATCGTACGCTTCAATAGTGGTTGCTTGTACTTTCACTTGTTCCTGATTAATTACCTTGGTGTAATAATTACCTTTAACGATCTCATTGAGAAGTTGCATTAACGGAGTAACATTGTCAACTCCTGAAATAAATATTGGTGGGGCTTTCACCGGCTTTACAACGTCCATGTTTTCTATTTCCTCAGATTCATGGGCGTTTAAATCATTATACGTGTTTGTTGTTTCCACTTAGCCAGTAGTCGACAATGCGTGTTTATTTTGATTTTTGCTGTGTATTGTTTCCATCTGGTGTAGTTAGTGGTCGTTTTTTTTTTTTGATTTTACGGTTTGCCATTCCTCTGTCGAAAACGGCAAATCTTTTTGCCGTGTCGGAGTTAGCGATGCAATTTCATCGAGTTTGTTCGTTACTGGCATCGTTGAATGATCTGACGTTGAATGGCTAAGTCAGCGGATCAAATTCAGATTCGCCGGAATGTTGCACGACTGCGGCTCTTGTTCCGCCAGCGCAGCCGCGGATTCCTTACTCCGAATGCTATGCTTATTGCAATTGTTATTTCGTTTTATCTTTTTTTTTTGTTTATGTTCACTTTCACATTAAACAATTTAGTTAGCTGCTGAGCACTTACACTCGCGTGTCTGTCGATGGTTGTTAAAACCTTATATGGTTAGATCGCGTTCGAATGAACAATATTATATTTCATTTACGAGCGCGTATCAGTTACGTCCGTTCCGTTCAACGGCTCGAGCGAGACTCAGACGCATATAATGGCAGTTAATAAATTAATGGGTATATTAATGGTAACTTGTATATTAAGGGGATGCTGGAGCGAAGGCTGAAGTTAATCAAGGTCGATATTACAGATTTTTATTTCCAATGTATAAGATGCTTACGCCCTCTGAGTTAATATGATCATGCAGGAAATTCGATCGATTAATTATCGATATTTTTATTCCGTTTCCTACATTACCATCTTAGCAGGGACGTGTATTAGGATCGGTTCCACAAATGTAAAATTTATAAGGCGTATGACTTTGCTCATACGGTTTTTTTCCGAAATTCGAGGCTTTATTGTAAAAAACTGGTTATACATTTATGATTCAAAGTATTGTCCATCGCTGGCCACTATTTT